TATCCCACCTGTACACGAGCCTCGGTCAGTTTGGCCCTCTGTGCGAGCTCCTCTCTAGTGTAGATGTCGGGGTAGTGTGTCCTCTCAAAGGCCTTCTCAAGCTCCTCCAGCTGCTCCGCCGTGAAGGTGGTACGGCTGCGTCTCTGTTTCCTTTTCAGGGGCAGGTCTGGCTCTGACTCCACTTCCGAGCCATCATCTGTACGGTTACCTGCATACACAGTTTGGAAATAAGTTGTTGAGAGGCTTTGAACATCGGCACCAAGTCTCGGATGCTTTACAAAATGACAAGTTATTTTAAAAAATTGAATATGTACAGCAACTGAAAATTTCAGCTGTCACCAGTACGATGGCACACCGCGAATTTGTCAACGGAAAATGATCCTGAAAGCCGAGACCAGCTATCATGGCAATATTAATGCTTCCGTTATCTCGATGTGTCAATGGAGCCCTAGATACCTTTTTATTGGGTCTTATTCATATGTGAGAAGTCTTCAGACACATAATCCTGCCACTGAGCCCTGGAGAGGCCTGGGGGACGTAACTGTGAGGGTTAGGGTAATCTACACCAGACACCTTGCTCTAGCACGTCCGCCTTATTCTCTCTGTAGCGGCCTGGGGCTAGCTCCTAAGAGCAAATGTTTGAAATAAGAATGTATGAGACTTCTGGGCCATTGAATCCCTCTCTTTGTGTTTCAAGCTAGTGTTCGAAATATATTACAACATATTTTACATTACTTTTTTTCAGGCACTCAATCAAAGACAAGTGCAGATCGCAGTTGGCAGTTTGCATTTTAGCCAGAGGAGTATTTCCCCGGCACAAAGACGAACACTGCTACGACCGAGCCAAGAGGAGCGTTTGTAAGGAGAGATATGGAGTGCGTTAAGATATATTACTGAAATACATTACCATGATAATTGATTCTAAAATTGCATCATACTTCATTTGTGAGCCACCTCTGTATATCTATTCATGGAAGCAGAAAGCTTGTGAAAGGTCCTGTCACAAAAAATCACACTTTTACATTTGCTTTCTTAAAACACATGAGTGCTAACAAGCAGTGTAGCTTGAGTCTTGCTCCAGGCCCTTTGGTCTTGCATCATCCACGGGGGAAAGACAGAAAGAAGGGCTCTGAGCTCCTTCCCCCGCAACGCCACAGCTGCCACGGCGGAGACAAATCTCCTTTGAGCCATCGTGCGCGGTCTCTGCCCACTGCTGATCAGCAGGTTCCTGCACCCTGGACCACTTCACACAAGTTTTCCAGCATCTCCATTTTCTTCTGCCAGACCAGAGCCTGATCGTCTCTCTCAAACCCCCATCTGCCAGGTCTCTTCTACGGCTGCCAGGAAAAGAGGTTACAAAAAGGCCTGTGGGAGTGTGCTAGTGTGTGTATATTAGTATGTGCATGGGCGTGCGAGTATGTCCGTGCGTATCGGCGAATGCATTCTTCTTGGTGCATGTGCGAGAATTGGGTGCACTTGAAACTGACAATCGGGGGAAAACAATCCCCCAGCGTAATGCAACTACCAACAACAAAAAGAACCAAACTGCGGGTCTGCAAGTGTGTTTGTGCATGCTTGCGTATCCATACATGCATTCTTCTTGTTGCATGTCAATTTTCGTGCACCAAATAAATGCAGAAATGAAATTGCAGATTATATATAAAGAACCCAACTCTGGGCGATTAAGTATGTTGGGTATCAACAAATGCATTCTTCTTGGTGCATGTGGAAGTGCGTAGAAAAAGACAAAGAAGAAAAACACCTATATATTGTTTTTAAACCAGGTAACTGCATACTGTATGTATAAAAGACAAAGCAAGCTATGGTTTGCTAGCTCTTCTAGGTGTGTGTCAATTTTGGTGGCATCAAAAGTGCCAGTTATCAATAAAAAGAACCAAAATCTGGCAGTGCAAGTATCTTAGTGCATACTTGCATATCAGCAAATGCATTCTTCTTGTTGCATGTGGAAGTACATGGAAATTACAGAACAGACTAGGGTCTTATTTATTCACACATGCATTCCTCTTGGTGCATGTGCAAGTATTTGGTGCAACTACATCAACAATAGAAGAAAAACTCCCTTCCGCAATGCAACCGCTTCAAGACACACCAAACTGCTGCAGTCTCCAGACCAGCTCTGGGGTTTAATTAAACATGGAATTAACGGATTATATGGAGACTATCATTACAGACCACTCGAGCAGTCTTCACAGAATGTCTTTTTGTCTCCCCAAGCTCTGGCTCAATGATTCTCAATGGATTACATGCGACCGCAGGACATGAGTCCGCATTCATTAAATCAATTCCTCCATCTTCCCCCTTTTAATAAAGATAGATTTTTTTACAACACTGCCTGGCACTCCAGCACACGAACAAAATCTTGAATATACAAAGTTGAATATGTACATATCCTGGATATCCCTTTGTTGGTTTTCACGAGGATGCGCCAGAGCGATTTGTTGCTAACACACCATGACAACACTTGAGACTCGTGCAGTGGTCTACGGATCACTTTCCAAAGTCACCTCGGCATCCTGAGGGGGAGGGAAAGACGTGCCGCTGTGATTTTTGTTTCATTGCACAGTTTCGCCACATGATTCATGAGGCAAGATTCTGTCAGCGTATCCTGCCCTTGTGTCTCTTTGTTTTTTTCTGTCCACACGTTTGATGCATCAAAGCCTTTTCACTTATAATTACAAATGTACTGTAACTATATCAAATCCCACCTCGCGTCTTTTGTATTGAAATATTTTACAAAACACACGTAATCAGTGGGCAAACTCAGAAACAAAACTCAGGTTGTTGTTGTCATTTCACAAGCTCTAGCTCAGCTGTCTTGCAAGCCCAAGACTGAAGGTCAACAGGCCCCCTGACAACAGCAAAGGATTATGGTAATGAAACAGATGCTGGCAGAGATAGAGCAGTGAGAGGGGCATGATACAGGCCTCATCTCTGTCCCAAAGATGTCCACTGATTGGGATGCTAGCTTCTATCAAGAGAACAGAAGCCCCAAATGGGTTCAGATAGGTTATGGCAGACATGTAATATGCTACAAACATATGTGTTATGCTAATGTGCTGCTTCTCCGCTGCTAATGTGACCGTGTTGAAGCTGACTAAAAGGCTAAAAGTATACAAAACTTTAAACTCTTGTGTAGCTATTATAACTAAATTTCCATTCGCTCTCATTCCTTGTTTAAAAAAGCACTACATTTAGCCACAGTAATCAGGGGACCAAAAAAAGCAGCAGTTAATTTGCACTTTAAACACAGTTAAGCTCAAGAAGATGTGAGGTCAATTCACAAGAACTCTTCCCTGTTTTAAAACAATAAGGTACATCCTGACTAATCCGCCTCACAATAACCGAGCTGTAATTCTATTTGAGGGTTCTGGGGATATTGATAAAGTCCTCTGCTCACTTATCAGCCAATTAAAGCCTAATTATGTTCCATTCATTCTGTGCTACAGCCTGAATGTTTTTCCTCCAGGGCCCAACGTGATCTTTAACAAAATGCTGACTTTGTGACGAGTATTTCATTTGCAACAAAATCAGGTGCGTACAGAAGGCTCTGACAAATTTTAGATCGCATTTCATTTAAAAACCAAACCCGTATGAAGCAGAAGGCTAGAAGCAGATAAACCGTTACGAGTAGGTTCTCTGCTTCTTGGCTACATGAATCACTAAAGCCAAATCTCATCCATTTAGGGCCCATTATCTGCAACAGTTAAGCCAACATACACATTTAGCTCAATTTAGCAGTCGTTTAGGTTGGCTTTAAGGGATAGTTCACCGCAAAATGAAGATTCTGTCATCATTTACGCATCCTCATGATGCTCCAAACTTGTATGACTTTCTTTCTTCTGTGAAACGCAGATATTTTAAAGAACGTTGAGTTCCAAACAACATTAGACCCCATTGACCTTCACTGTATGGAAAAATCTATATTTTAAAAATATCCTCTTTTGTGTTTGAAATGTGACCATATTACAAAATTCCTTGCTAGTTAACAGGTGAATTAAAGACAGTTCTGAAATGACCTTGTGTATTAATATTTCCTTTTTTCAGCAGCTTGCATGCCACTGAAGAACCATTTTGGGTTCCTCAAAGAATACTTCAGTGAAAAGTTCTTAAAAGAACATTTTAAAAATAAGATTTTACTCTGTAAACAACATTCTGTCCAATTGAAAGGTTCTATTGATGTTAATGGTTCTCAATAGAACCATCAACTCCAATAAATAACTTTTATTTTACTTTTATTTAGCACAGTAATTTATGATGTCTCTTTTCTTCTCTAAGGGCTTTAATCAAAGTATGTTGAGTATGTTAACTAAGTCATTTGTCTAAATAAAAAAATATATAAACATCTTTGGTCTGCTTAAAAAGAGAGATGACACTAACAAAAAAGTACCACGGTACTTTAGCCATTTAGTAGCATGGACTGATACCATCACTGTACCATGCTATACACCACAGCTTTTGTCTGTAGAACACATTCAAGAAACGGTGAGTAACTGCTTAAAATCCCAGCTAAAAACTGTCTCTTTGTCCGACTGATCTATCTTTATCATTTTAATTATATCACCCAACAGCATCAAAAGCGATTTGCACAGCTCGTCTGAAAATAGAGTTTCGATATATCATTACCAAACCTAAAAGGATGTCAAAGATCCTTATATAAAAAAAAAGACAATTGAAAAGCACGAATCAAAGTGCAGCTTTTGACATCATCAGAATCCCAGGAATTAGTCAGGGATGGCGGATAATAAAAAGCCTTCATGACACAGTGAGAAGGAGGTAGAGGCGTCTCCATCCTCATCTGCTAAGATTGCCTTTGAATCAGTATTAGCTCAACATTATGGCAAAATTCAATGCAGCCTTTTTTTTTAAATACCGTAACCAATGTCCTCAATATCAGCTGTACCTTGCAAACTACCCAAGACAGAGTGACAAAAACAGACAGGGCTTTTTGCAGTGCGGCATTAGCTCATAATGGCTCATTTTGAAAAGCATATTAGTTCCAGCATAATTACAATCAAGTCTTATGCTTGCTATTTTACAGGCATTCAATAGGACCAGCCTCAGAGCTGCAAATGACACCAGTTGAGTGTAACTGACAACACATCTTTCCCTCTTTTTTTTTTTTCCTTTGGCATCTTCCTAAACCCCCCACATTCCCACAGGACAAAAATAACAGCATCCCTGCTTAAA